CTGTCCCCCCATTCTCCATCCCTCCCCCTCGGCCCGGTCAACAATAGCAGCTGAGAATCAGCACCCTCCCCAAAGGCCTTGGGAAGTGTGAAGTTCCAACGGGTCTAGAGCTAATTCCATCTCCCCATCGCTGTTGGCTACCCTTCGTTTTTCCCCTGAAACAACCCCACCCCTGATCCAGCCAAGGTCAGCGAAGGTGGCTTGGGATGATTCAGGTTGGTTCAGGGCAGCGGGCGAAAGGAGACATCTTTTCTCCGGCATGCATTGCATTTCCTCCCAGCATGCCTTGGGCCGCGCAGCTCGGGGACGGAAAACTGGTGCTTCTGAACCTGGACTGGCCAGGTGAATTGGGACCGCAGGAATTTCTTAGGGCGGCCTCGTATAAATCACCCCAAAGGAGGCTGAGACTACTGAAAAGAACAACTGTATTGCATGATACGGTCTATACTAATAGGTAAGTATGCAGGTGCAAAATTAAGCATCTTTTTCCTCATTGGAACAGGGCGCCTCTCATTTAACCGGGGAGAGAAGGTCACTGGAGCAGCCGCGTGGCACCAGAGTCTTCTCTTTCAGTGTGAAGATGAAGGATGCTTTCAAGACGAGCCTCCATACAGTCAGCTGTGTTGGTCTGTCTCTGTTAGCATCACAAACCAAGCCACAAACAAACAAACAAACAAAAAATAAACATTATTGGTACAATGGTTGTTGTGGGTTTTTCGGGCTCTTTGGCCATGTTCTGAAGGTTGTTCTTCCTAACATTTCGCCAGTCTCTGTGGCTGGCATCTTCAGAGGACTGGAGGAGCACTCTGTGCTCTGGTGCAGTTTGTTTTGGAGTTGAGTATTTATAGCTGTGGGATCAGCTCTTGTCCTTTTCAGGAGATGGGTGGTTATGGTGATCAGTGTGTTTTTGTTGTGGGTGTATTGTTGTGATAAGGAGGAGAGGTTATCTTTCACTGTGATTGATGGTACACCTTGTCAAGACCAAAAACATTATTGTCATCATCCTAGAAATGCAGAGCGGGAAGGGAGCCTACGGATCATCAGGTCCTTTGGGTGCACATGCAAGGCCAGTCCTACAGACAGTGTTTGCTGAGTGTTTGCCACATGTCCAGGTGTGTGACCAGTTGCACACCCCAGGCACGCCCGAGCCCCCTGTCCAAGAAGGAAAAGCATTCAAGCGTTCTCATTTTGTGTTTCTTTCTGCCACATTTCAAACAAAGGACCATTCTCTGGCTGCATGTCGAGTGGAGGACCGTGCTCCATGAATGACAACACCCTGCACTAAGCTAAGACTTGCTCCGTGGCGTTTCATCTAATGTCTGAGTAAGTGGACTCATCCACGAAAGGTCACATTAAAACATAGCAAGTTATTCGCTCTGCACTCTGCTGAGGTTGTGTATTAAAAAAAACTGATATGTAAAGGATCGTGGGTAGCAAAATAGGACAAAACTGAAGCCGAGGCCATGAAAAGCTTTTGCTTGTTAGACTAGTCAAGAGTGTATGAAAGAAAGGCCAAAGGGGCTGGCAGTGTGAAGGAGAACTTATTTCCTCAGTACCATATCTCTCCATCCTGGGTTCTGAAAGTTGTCGCTCAAAAGAAGTAACTTTCTTAGTTCTGACCATTTATGAGAATCATAGAATCATGGAGTTGGAAAGGCCATAGAGCCCAACCCCCTGCTCAAGGCAGGAATCCAAATCAAAGCAAATTGGAATTTTTACTGATATTCAGCTGAAATCTGGCTTCCTTTAGCTTGAGTTCATTATGGATTGTTCTTCCAGTGGTTTGAGGGCTCTGCTTGTCGCTGTGGTCCCTGGGGAAAAGGGCCAGATTCCTTCCTCTAATGCTATACCTTGTATTTGCAGAAAGAGATTAACAGCCTGAGCAGGGAGCTTGTTTTGAGAGACAGAGACAGGGAAGGAGAGAAAGAAAGTACACACAAAGCTGTAGCTAGAAATTTTGCCCTCCCCTCCCCAACCGCCAGAAAGGGCATCACCTCCCACCCACTCAAATCTGAAGGATGGACCTGAGCCCCCACCAAGACAAAAGGAACAGAACGTGGTTTCCCAAGAAAGAAGGAGACACATTTGTGCTTTCCAAACACACAGACAAAACTAAACAGCACCCACACACATACGCAACAGGGAGGGGGAAAGACAAAAAAAATCAATTTCCTTGCAACTCTGGAAAGAAAGTACTTCTAGAAGGTGTTGTGGTTTGTTTTCCTAAACATTCGCCACTAGATTCGCTTCTAGATTTTGGTACCCTCTGAATTTAGTGCCCTGGGGCACAATGCCAGCTGCCACCGTCTGGTTCCAGAGCCGAACACATAACAAGTGTTTGTTCAAGAAGAAAACAAAGGAGAGGTTAAGTATTCAGCCTTCTCTTTGGGCTCTGCATTAGAACTGAGCAGGACTGTTAGATGTCTTTCATGGAGTTTTTTAAAAAGGGTTAATGGTGGCCACGCAAGCAGATAAGATTTGGATCATTCATGACTGTTGGGGGGGGCATGGTGGGAGAAACTCAATGCACTCCGGGAAAAATATGTCTCAAATCTCTCTCTTCCCCGAGACAACCCAAACCATCATAATCCAGCCTCCTTGACTTTCTCGCAACAAGATATTTGATATGTTGCAGAGTTTTGAATTCCTTTTGTTACACAGTGTAAGTACAGAGACTCAAGACAGGAGAATAGTTTCAAGTTCCTCAGATAATCCACCCCTTTCTCCCTCACTGGCATTTCGGGCCTCAATAACAGACTCCGAGACGTTGGTACGAGAAAGAATAAAAACATTCCATTACTTACAATTGCCAACAGATCAACAGCAAACTAAGAACGAACGGCTTCCAACAGACTTAACAAAAGGGAAAAGAACAGTCAGAAAGGAAGTGGGCTCTGAATTCAAAAGTTAGGAGGAACAATCGGTTAGGGCTGGATAGATCAATAGTCAACCCAGCCCAGAAAGGCCTCCTCCCTGCCACAGAAGACACAGATGGCATGCAAGATTGTAAAAATTCAAGAAAGGATGGACTAGGGCTTTATTCAAGAGGACTTCTCCTTGGCACCCTTTTCCTGTCGACAGTTGCCTTAAACCCACTCCTGTGTGTTGCAGGACAAAACATTTATTCCATAGAGCAAAAGAATCGGATGTCTTAGTGAAATGAAAATGATACAGTTGGTCTTGATACTCTAGTCTATCACAAACCTCAGACAACTGGAATTCATTGCCAAGTTATGACACTCTAGTTTCCCAAGGGTTGTGCACTTGTTCGACAGCAAACATGGCTGGCTGGGGGATTCTGGATTTTGGAGTCCAAAAAAAGAGCAACATTTCCCAGCTTTGCCGTCCGGTAGCTCACTGGAAAGACAGATCCTGAAGCTGAGGCTCCAGTACTTTGGCCATCTCATGAGAAGAAAAGACTCCCTGGAAAAGACCCTGATGTTGGGAAAGTGTGAAGGCAAGAGGAGAAGGGGATGACAGAGGAGGAGATGGTTGGACAGGGTCATCGAAGTGACCAACATGACTTTGACCCAACTCCGGGAGGCAGTGGAAGACAGGAGGGCCTGGCGTGCTGTGGTCCATGGGATTACGAAAAGATGGACACAACTTAACGACTGAACAACAACAAAGCAACCACCAGATTTTCCAGTAACAAATTCTAGTTTTAACTCTCTGTGCGTGAGGTACTCCATCTTGAAGCTTCGCCCCTGCTCCAGTTAATTTCCTCAGATGACCCAGGCATTTGTTATTATGGCAGAGAGATTCTCCCATGTCACTTATTCCAAACCATAACGGTTCCCATACCAGGCCCCTAGCTCTTCATTACACACATCTTCTCTTAGGCCTTCCGTGTTCTCGGAGTTCAGATTTTAGTGAGCAGCCAAGATGAAAAACAAAGCTAAATGTGATCACAGAATTATAGAATAATGCCGTTGGAAGGGGTCTATAAGGCCACCGAGTCCAACCCCCAGCTCAAGGCAGGAATCCAAATCAAAGCAAATCTGACAGAGGGTGGTCCAATTTTCTCTTAAATGCCCCCAGCCTTGGAGTGCTCAGCACCTCCTGAAATCATTGGTTCCATTATTGTACTGCTCTAACAGTTAAGAAGTTCTTTCTTCTTCTGATATTCAACCTAAATCCAGCTTCCTGACACTTGAACCCATTATGACACGTTCTGAACTCTGGGATGAAGGACAACAGATCTTGCCCCTCCTCTGTAGGACAGCCGTTCAAATATTTGAAAAGTGCTATCCTATCATCCCTCCATCTTCTTTTCTCCAACCTAAACAGGCCCAATTCTTTCAATCTTTCCTCCTAAGCTTGGCTTCCAGACCCCTGATCTTCCTTGTTGCCCTCCTCTGAACTTGTTCCAATTTGTCAGCATCCTTCTTGAAGTGCGCCGTCCAGAACCCTATATCCTTGGGCACTCAAATTCCCTTTTGGGTATATAGTATTACTCCGCTTTCCGATGCCTGGTGGATTTTATGCAGTGCGCTGGAGCACACGAAGCTCCCGAGTGGAGGAATAAGGAGCTGGATTCTTTCCTCCTTTTCCGTGGCATTCCATTGATCTTCATCTCTCCGTCCTAGCTTCTCCTACACAATCACACATTCATGAACACATACGACACACTGTCATTCCAGCTCACCTCCTTCAAAGCTTATCTGCCACCACCAGCACCCTCTAAGTGTGTGTGTCCCCCCCCCCAATGACTGTGGAATGTGGCTCTCCTCCGGGAATCGAGGGATTTGGGAGCGGGGTGGAAGGGGGGGTGGACAGATGAAAGGATGAAGAAGCGCTCCATTCATGGTCAGGCTGGACCTCCATGGAGCCATCTCTCTTGGCCTCCTTGTCATCATGTCACTCACAGCTGTGATGGGGGGCAGGGGGGGAGAGAGGGAAGGAAGGCTGGCGGGAGGGGGTTTTGCGGGCGATGCTATTTTGGAAAGAAGGATATAAAAGGAGGCGGTTCATGAGAAGATCAGATCTTCCTTGGGCTCCAGGCTGAGTAACCCTCCCGGCATGTAAGTGTTGGGGCCGATTTCAGGAGATTGGTGGGAAGTAAAGGAGAGGGAGGTGGGTAGAAAGGAAATTAAAATCCTCCAGACTAAAGCTGTCGGCCACGTACCTTCGGAGTTGGATGTAGGAGGGAGATGGGCAGATTTTTCGTAGCTCTTTGGATTTAGCCCAAATTTGCATTTCTGGAGACAACCACCTTTGAGGAAGGGCTAGAGGCGCCTCTGGAATATATATCGCTGAGAGAGACAGACAAAAGTTACATTTTTGGACAACAATTCCCAGAGAGCCAGGACACTAGAAGTTGCAGGGTTTTTTTTTTAAAAAAGTGACTTCCCCTAATACTGGCTATAAGCATCTCTTTTTGTCCACAGCTTGTGCGTGGATGCACCAGGTAGGCCAAAGACGAATAAAGATGTGTCAGGGATGGGGGGGGAACTGATTTGTGGGGCCAAAATCACCACAAAGTTCTCTTCTACTGGACTAATAGGCAGTCTACTGGGTTTCACAGAAGTCTGCAGCTCCTGAGGGAGCTTGCAGCTTTCTTAGAACTTTCAGTCTAAACCATGATGTAGAAGGGAATTTAAAAAAAACTTGAAGAAGGTGCTAAGAGGGGGTGCTACCTGGAGGAAGAGGGAAACAATGGGCAGGGGCAAATGGGAACTGGAGTCCAACCTCATCTGGAGGACTGCAGACTCCCTTTCCTTGATGTGTTGTTGTTGTTACATGCCGTCAAGTCACTTGTGACTTACGACAACCCTATGAATGAGTGCTGTCTGAAATGTCCTTTCTTCAACTCCCCTGCTCTGCTCTTGCAGACTCAACCCTGTGGGCTTCCTTTAGTCAGTCCATCTCGGTAGGTCTTGCTCTTTTCCTCCTGCCTCCCACCTTTGACAGCATTATGGTCTTTGTTAGAAGGAGGTATTTCTGCCGCGGGAGAAGTCGGGATGTGTGTGGGTGGAATGAGGAGATTTCATGGCCGGACACGGAGTAAAGAAAAGAGCTCTGAAAGCATGAAGGGTTGGGAACTTAAACAAAAGTGATGAAATGTTGGATTAAGGCAGAAGAGTAACCTCTATTCTAGAGATGAAAGGATTCAGGAGAAATAGTCCCTTGAAAGTGAAGAAAGCTGTGTAAGGGCAATGTAGGGAGACAAAGAGGGAGGGGGGAAAATTCTGTATCGGGCATTGGAAGGTTTGTGGGAAGGATAGTGAAAGACACTGAAAATAGATCATAGGATGAAGAGCAATGAATAGAAATGAGAAGCTGAAATATAACGGCTCAAGACGCACAAAGAAGGAGTGGATGTATCTAGAAAAGAGAAAGATTGGAATTTCTGGGGTAGAGTTGGTGAGCTTTTTTAGAAAAAATGGCCAGCCATGTTCTCTCGTAGAGATTCCCCCCCATGAAACCCTAGCTGAGGGCTTTCGCAAATCATTCTCCACCATTAAGTTTACGTTCATCGCGATTCAGACAAGCAGCTGTCTGTCTTTAATTCCACACTTTTGACAGACTGTTACTGCCGGTAAATCCACATCATCCAGGGAACAAGCATGAGTGATTCCCGACTCTTGCTACCTCATAGATTTGGAGGGTTATAGCAGCCTGATATCACTGGATCATTGTTCCTCCATCTTAGCTAATGCTAATAATCGTAATTACACATCTGTCGTCTCTCTCTTTCTCTCTTTTCAGCCTTTATTTCTTTGCTGTTATCTCCTCTAACACTTCATAACAGGTAAGGTGGCTTTCCTCTGTCTTTTCCATCCCTCATCCCAAGAGTATTTCCTGTGGAAGAGGACAGGGACGAGTCTCACTACAAGATATTTGCGATGTTTTAATTCTTGGAGGGAGAAGAGTCAGCCCCTGTAGCCTTGGGCAAGCTGCACAGTCCCCGAACACTCCCAGGGGAAGAGAAGGGTAAACCATTTCTGAGTATTCTCTACTCAGAAAACTCTGAAAAGGATTGACATAAGTCAGTGTTGACTTGAGGGCACACATTATTATGATGACTTAAATATCATTGATGAAATGTCCATATCTGGGCGATGGGGAGGAATTGTGGTTACACTGGAAGATCGTAGAACCTGAACATTTATTTTCCTTCTCCTCCTTGTTCATTATATCATGGCAAGTCTCTTCTGACTTATGGTAAGCCTAAATGGGCTTTTTAAGGTACATAAGATGTACAAGGACCGGTTTTATCCATACCATCCCCCCCAGTGAGTCTTCATAGACAAGCCATAATTTGAACCCAGGTCTCCAGACCTTGTTATTA